GAAGGATGTTTCAGCGATGTTGAGTGTGTAGGATGTAACTACCCACATACGCCTGATGTCGTTTGCATGGACGAACAAGGATCTTTGAAAGTTGTGGGCAAGATCAAAGTTCCGTGGGTGCTAGAACATATGTTCCATCGGCGGATGACGAAGCCAGGTTGAGGCACTTACTGGCTCAACCGTTGATGTACATGCGTGACCTGCAGTGCAACTACGGCTTTATCAGCAACTACATGGAGACTATATTTCTCCGTCAACTAGATATGTTGATGGCTGGCCCCTGTAATTCCATCCGTCTTTTGTTCCCCGAGACCTTCGATTGGACTTTGCACCTTTGGCTCTCGGATTACGGGCTCGGTGTGTCATCACATACGATGCCCTCTTAGCGTATGCATGGTTTAATAAAATGCCCGTTATGTTGGTCATCTTCTTCGTCTATACTGGTTAATAATCTTGTGATATAAGCGGATAGAGCGATTTTCAACGATATTTCAGTCAACTTCTAAGGTCAGGGCGTACTATGTTGACATCTATGGTGAGAGGATACCACGGGTGGACCAAAACATACGATAGTTCATGCTGGTAGGGCAGTCTGTCACTTTCGACTCTGTTACCTGTACATCTGCATACTGGTATCTGTATATACAGAATTCCCTTCCTTCGCCATGATTTTCTGGTAATTGCTCCTCTTTCACTTCTTTTTCCTGTTTACATCTTCCCTCCCTTCACGTTGAAAACCGCGCACACTCCTCAACCCATCTTCACACATCCTCCCATATCCTGTCCTAGACTAGCATCCGCTCAGACCGAGAAGATAACTCCCTCCCCCGTCGCACGCACAGCTAGTCATGACAACCGTTGCTAATACCCTTCTAGCTGCGCACAATTCCGCGAGCAACGTTCAGCTACAGACTGTCGCCGCACCCCTTAGCCCTGTTGCTAACGCACACGTATAAGAGATCGCCATTCGTGAGAACGGCTTTGAATTCCGAGCTGTAGCCTTTCAATCCGCACTCCTTAGAGAAGGTTGATATTTCTGTCTCTTCGGTGCTGGTCATCTTGCTCCTCGCGTAGGTCGCCCACGACACACATAGATTGCTGTTGTCCCGAGTGATACACGCAGAACGCGTCTTCTTATCGAGTCTGCTGCCGGAATTGATCGCCTTGAGCAGAGCAACAATTTATCCCCAGGCTCAGCCGGAGCCGACCGCAGAGACGAAGTTGCCAATCCCATGCGCCGTACCGCAGCACGCAAGTCTGATGCCACCACCGGGGTAGTTACAGTCATACCAGCTTCTGTCGGACAGACTGGTTTGATTGACGAGGACGTTGTAATAGTTCTGTAGAGCGTCCTATTCGTTCATAGAGGCATCGAGTGTGTAGAGTGTGAAATCAACGCCGGTCAGCCGATCGGTATAATCACCCATAGCGAGTAACGTAACATCATGTTGACTAATCATAGGCTGCGCAAGAGCACCTGGGAAGAATAGCCTCAGCAGTACGAAGCACACAGTCATAGTGATAAACCCGATGACTGATTTAGTCACAAAACGTTGAAAATCTCTGCTTTCGTCACGGCGCCTCGCGCCACACTTGTCACAGACGTTGGAGTCGCTCATGATGTCGTTAAGGTTCAGTAATTTTTTTTTTGGTTTATTTTTCAGTGAAAAGGAGAGACGCTGAAAGGTGAGAAAGAAAAGAAGAAATGAGGGGATCGCTCCCCGAACTTATACCCGTCTAGCTAGTCTCTATTGAGACGGTTACTATGAGGTGGCAGGAAAGAGTAAAGGATATCTGCGGTCTATAGGATCCGGAGTATCCGGCATGCATATTCCAGATAACCCACTTACGCACATTAAAGAAGGGAACGCGCGTTAGCAGCACACTCGAAGATATGCGGGTTGGTTTAGCAACACAAAACAACAACACGAGCTAACGCAGGATGTACGAGAGACCCATAGGCAACCACCCATATATACATAAGAGAGAGGTATAGAAGCGTGATATTTAATACTATCTTCGAGGTGCTAGATATACTACCCGTGCCTAGCATACCAGTGTATCGAAAATCAGGTGTTACGATACAGGTCGGAAGAGCCTCATCCGGTTTCATCCGTGATATCAAGTAATAAGGGGTTCCCCACTACAGCATGTAGGTAGTATTAAGGACGAAATATCAAGTGAAACACCAAAGCTTTTTTTTTTTTTGCGCTTAGATTCAGAAGTCTGTGACTTATAGACCCCCTACCATGTCGACCATGATTTTACTATCAGTCTGCCTTAAGAGGAAGACACGTTAAATACAGGTTAGTATTGAACGTGGGCTATAGAGGACGAGAGAATGCTGTGACCTAGAGACGGGGAGAAGTGGAGCAGCTGAGGGCTCGAAGCCAATGTGGATCTAAACAAAATGCTTGATGCCTGTAGTGGGTCAGGGCACCTTAGTCTTCCACACGACCCAGTAAAACCCAGACCCAACCCAGTCTGAGTCGGGTTTTGGGTCAAAGGTCTCGACCCAAAAATGGGGTTTGCGGAATACTACACCCACCTGCTTTATCTACGGAGGTCCATGCCAAAATTTCTCTCTCATTTCTATATTTACTTTTTTAAATAAAACAGCTAGTATGTAATGCTCCTGTATAGTACTTTTGCTACTACCCCTTTTATTCTATCGTCTTCTCTTCAATCTTCCTCTATACTACTAAGCTTCTTGCCTAAGGTTGCAGACTCCCCCGGCAACCGTCGTAAGAAGTTGTTGATCCCGATCCTACGAAAGACCACTTGGTGCATGTGCTGTCTTCACGTTGCCAATCGGGACTAGGAGTCCTAGCCTGAGGGGGGTCAGCCTACCCTTCAGCGTGGGGTGTATCTTGGACTCCCCTAACTCGAAATCTTATGCTCATTTTGCTAAGCATCATAAGGTTTGTGAGTCGGTGAGTGCTCAGTGTCAATTTAAGAGGGTTTTTTCCGCTATACGTGCTCACATTGTTTGGTATTTAGTCACCTTAAGGCATGGATAGCAACCGGTTCGAACTACTCTCTCTTATCGCATAGGCCGAGCACTTCTGGCTCACTAACTATGGAGATCCCCTTGAATTTTCCTTGCCTTAGGACTTTAACGTGGCCGTCTCGGACGCGGTTCATGATCTTGTTGCCAGTTTTGACAACCTTCTGAAGATTCATAAACACCTCCACCACCTCACTAGCACGCGCGTTCCACTTGTGAGTTACTCTAGATTCCACCTTAGGTCGTGGCCTATTCGCTGACATTTCGTGCGCTTCTTAGGCCGTCCATAACTCTTACATCCAATGGGTCTCCGACCGCCGTTCCACTTTGGTTCGTGACACTCCTGCTGTCTACCATCCTTGGGATCACTTAGCAGTTAACGCTTCAGCTCGGTGCTGACTCGTGGGCTCAGAGGAATCGGTTTACGCCTGGCATGGAGCCGTAGTGGCTTTCAACCCCACCCTTAAGCTGCAATCGCTACCCACGTCACTAACCCTGATATTTTGATTGCACTAGCAGTATATATGGGTTACTTCCCATTTGATTGGAAGTTATGAGCGGTCCGTTGGGGTTTCGGAGGGAGTGTATCAATAGAAATATATTAAATCGGGTTCCTTTTCCTTTTCCTATGCTCGGGCCGTGGTAAGGCGGTTCCGATCCGTTGTGATGTCTCTATAGTTTCGGCACCGTTACCGTATATAGTCAGTGGGCTACCTAATTCACTTTTGACTTTTTTACTACGTCCTTTTGTATTTGGCCATGATTCTATGAGCATTTGCCATTGCGCTCTCGGGAACCCATTGGTTATATTCCGAGGACCAGCCGCACCATTTTACCAAGTAGTGGAGCTCGTCTTCGAACTCCTGGTCATCTTTAATCTCCTCGACTACCTATTCATCTAGGATATAGCTCAATACAATGATTTTGACCAGCTTATCTCCGGGCTCTGAGTCGTGAGAGACCGTAAGGAACCAAAAGTCTCTAGCGTCTGCCACCAGTGCATAGACGATTCTCCTTGTTGATATTGATGCGATATCTATTGCTAATGGGCTAACTTCCTATTATATCACAGCAAAGGTCTCATTGGGGGGTTAAGCTTTTACTTACAGGCCTGTGAAAGGCTGGCTGATTTATGCTCCTGAAGTTTGGCTTTCACGATAACAACGGTGAGGGGGATATCATCTTGTTTCGGACTTCCCGCGAATCTTCTATATCTCGCCCTTCCGGTTCATTGGGCGGTACCCCCATGTCCGTTCGGCTTGGATGTTTGCTGGCAGGACGGATGCAGGCGGGTGAGGTGAGGTTGCGATGTCAACGGCGAGCAAGAGGAGGTTCTTGATGGTAATTTGTGTCCCACTTGAAGTACTAGAGCGGAAGGCGCGACAAAAAAGAGCGAATGGTCTGACCGTTGGCAGGCGATGGAACTGGAATATAATGAGATCAAAGGCCAGCGATAGGTTGTTCAGGCGGCTTAAATTAGGATGTGGAAAGACCGCAAAACGAAAGGCAACTCGAATGTCAAGTAGGGAATGAACCTAGAGAACATGCTATTTCAAAAGCCAGAAAGTAGTTCTTCGCCGGAAAGTAAATGGAAGAGGAATATGAGCAGGTATAAAAAAGTAGGAAGTGATAGAGGAAGTTAGGGAACAAGGAAGAAACAAGGGGACTGATTGGGGAAGCTTTATATAACTCCATCTGGGCAAGTAAAAACGTTGGGAAGATATCTAGCAAGAGGAAATATCAAAGATATCCCAAAACATATTTGGAAAGACACTTGAAAAGACTTTACACTACATCGCCAACATGTGCTGGAAGGATAGAGGCCATATATAATAAGAAATTGATACCACAGAAACCAAATAATCTACCATAAATCATAATACCAGTAACAACAGTGGAAACTTGTTGGAGATGTGTCATGTGTATCCAATTGTACCAGACAATAACAAGAATGACATGCCCAGTCCCCAGGGCTCAGAGCTCTCTAAGCCCACTAGTTGAAGACCAAGTGTCCATTATCGTTTCCAATGCGCTCAGCGAGGTTGATATCCGCGTTGTGTTCCTCGCCATCGACGTCGCGCAAGACAGCGCGCAGAACAGGGACACCGTCGTCACCTTCGCGGTCGAATCGCACATCATCGGCACTGGAGTGGAAGTCACCGCCGTCCCAGTGGAAGTGTCCTAAATAAATGAGTCAGACCGATTTCATTGATGCGGGGTTATGCTAGAAGGTAAAGAATGCTGATGCAGACTAGAAACATACCATTGTCGTTTCCGATGTGATCATTGAGATCGATGCTAGACTCTTGCTCATCACCATCCTCGTTGCGGAGAACGGCCTTGAGGATGTGGCCATCCTCAAGCTCGATGTGGGAAGCAGACTCGTGGAAGCTCATATTTTCGATTTGGGAGAGAAGAATGCAAAGTAGAGTGTAGAGACTATGTATCATAAACTTCCTGGATGGCGGAAGTAGACGGAGGGGGATAGGACTCTCCTTATATACCCCATCTTGCTCGGCCAATACGCCCCGAATCGCGATCTGGACTAACACAAGGAATCGTGCAGCAACCCCCCGGTTCTTGTCCGACACATGTCCCGGACTAATTCGTCGCACTGCATTTCGATTGCGCCATGGCAGCTGGCTGAGGTGGGGCATTCATTGGGATGACCGACATTGGCAAAGCGGGGAGATCCTACTTGGTATAAACGGGGATCTCTTCAAAAGACAAAGAAACCTAGCGAGTTAGTCTGTAGGGTGCTGTGGAGAGGACCGAACGGAAGCATCCACTGCGCCTGTACACGTCAGTGGGTGGATCAGACGGTGAACATCCGAGGCTGTCGTCTTGGCGGGATATTCGGCGGGATATTCGGCGCGAAGGCGTAGAGAACACCTGAACTTGATGTCCAGTTATCGTGGCGCATGGCGACACCTCCCACGGTCCCCAGCCACAGGATTCGCAGCGACATATTCTGATGTTGCACTTTGCATGCGTGCCAAGGATGCACGATTCCGTGACAGCCTTAGGAAACAGCCACAGGACATGGGCCACACACGGTTAATGGGTATCGAACCGACCGAGGAGAAATGCTGGTGCCTAATGCGAACGATGCAGTTGACCGGGGCTCATACAGTGCCAAGACAATTTGGGGATGCAGCCTCATGTTGTCAGTTCTTGGCAGACTCGATATTGAGGAGGGGTTATTCACAACCAGTGGCGTTGAGGGGACCTGTGGCTGAATAAGGCTAGCCCTGTGACTTGGAGGGGTCTTTTGGAGGGGCAAGGATCAGGTGGATCATTGTCAAGGACAACACATCAAGGTCCGAAATGTTTGTTTTTTTTCGATTCTAGGAACTTTTGAAAGAGGATTTGGGAAGACTTAAAGTGCAGAAGGTCATCATAAGACTTATTCTAAGTGTTTAAAATCACTCATCAAGATCATCAAATCGAAAGGCTGTGTATTGTTCATTGTATATATACAAGGTGGAGGCAACAAAGTGGAGACACGCAAAGACGGGATCAAGCATCGTAAAGCTCACAGGGTTGACACACAACAGGACCAGGAAGAAAGACAATTATCAAAGGAACATCGAGTAAATAAGAAACGTTCTCAGAAAATTCTTTGGACAACAGAGAGCTATCTCTGTGGAAAGGTTCCAAAAATTGACTCAAAGAAAACTTTGAGCACGTAGAAGGAGATGAGAACAGAGCCCCTTTGGTTCAGCTCCTGACGGACAATGGGAGCACCTAAACACGTACAGTCTGTTTCCGCAGAGGTGAATAGGAGTGTCTCAGCCGAAGCTCTTGCCTGTTTCCTCCTAGGACATGCTTCGTGCCATTCGCAGCCTAGCCTAGGCCGCCTACAGAAGACCCGTCAGAGTCCTCAGGGTTTCACTTCCTTCACTGGACAACAACCTGCCATATGTTGAATATGACCCTGAAGCTGAAGAGGTTCAAAAAAATGTTGGGTGTCCGGGGAATCACGGAGTGCAATGTGGGCCCGGAGAGTTGAAGAAGAAAGAAAGAAGAAAGAAGAAGAGAGAGAAAGTGGGAGGGGGCAGGTATTTATACCTTCCCAGAGGCTTAAGGCAATGGGGAAACTGGGGTGGGTGACGGTTTTTTGACCCAAAAGGGAAGCCGCGACACACGACAAGGAAGTTACCATGTCTTACAATGAATTCTAGGAAGAATGAGAAAAGAATATGCAATTGATCTTCAAAATACCCTCAAAACCTCAATATCAGACACCCAACACCACTTGCGAACTCCCATGCCTTTCAAGATCGACAGATGCACAGAATCAACAACCCATCCCATAGCACACATACCAGGTGTATCAACAGAAACACATTAGAATCATAAAAAGTCACAGATTAAACTCCATTGCGGTAGATTTGGGATCCACCGGAACGGATCTGGATGGTGTCACGTCGCTGCAAGACCACCAGCGCACGGTTAAGTGCCTGCTCGGTATAGTTCTTACCATCGACAAAGTCACGGCGCAGAGTGGCCAAGCTTGTGCTCCAGCCAATGGGGAGACGACGCTTCAGCTCATCCTCAATCTTGCTGCTCTGCTCCATGAGTTCCTTGCTGCCTTGGCCCTCACCCTGGGTAATGGCGTCCATGGTAGATGCCAGGAACAGACGGATAGCCTCGTCCACGTGAGCTTCTGTGGCGATGGGGGAGAGAGAAAGTTTGGCGAGGGACTCGGAAATACGGACAATAGCCTCGAGTTGACGGACGGTGATGGGGATCGATGATCGAGTGTTGGACTCCATCTCGGCCCGGTGGACTTGCTTTCGGATGGAGACGAAGTGGGACGAGAGTTTTTCCGCGGCTTCGGGTGAGAGACGGGGCGCGCAACGACTAGACGGGATGTTAGTATGAATATAACGGTTCAATCAGTAATAAATGTCAACATACCTGCGGCAGTAGCTGATGTAGCGCTTCATCTGCTCAACGGGAATCTCGGCTTCCACCTGCTCCTCCACACCACGACCACCCATGTGCACACCCATGACGTGGCGGGCAATCTTCTCATCACGGCCACGCTCATGTTCATCGCGGACGATGAAGATCATATCGAAACGGGACAGGATAGTGGTTTGGAAATCAATGTTCTCGCCGGGGGTCTTAAGATCATCGTATCGTCCAAAGATAGGGTTAGCGGCGGCCAGGACGGATGTTCTTGAGTTGAGGATAGTGGTGATTCCGGCCTTGGCGATAGAGATGGTCTGCTGTTCCATGGCTTCATGAATAGCCACTCGGTCCTCGTCACGCATCTTATCAAACTCATCGATACACACAACACCTCCATCAGCAAGCACCATGGCACCACCTTCGAGGTAGAACTCGCGAGTGGTATGGTCTCGCTGCACGGAGGCCGTCAAACCAGCGGCAGAGGAACCCTTTCCAGAGGTGTAGATGGCAATGGGAGCAGCCTTTTCAACAAATTTCAAAAGCTGAGACTTGGCAGTACCGGGGTCACCCAGCATAAGCACGTTAATATCACCACGAAGTTTCATTCCATCAGGAAGAATCTTCTTTGAGCCACCCATGAGCAGACACACGATGGCTTTCTTCATATCCGCGTTTCCATAGATAGACGGGGCAATGCTTCGAGCGAGTGCATCATACAAGTCAGGTCTACGGCTGAGCTCCAAAAATTCTTGTTCTTCTTCCTCGGAGAAGACTGAGGCGCCCTTTGCTGTCTGGTCCAGGTCGGAGGTGATTCCCACTGCGCGGAGATAGGGATTGCGGATAGCCACGGCAGCCTCCTTCTTGACACCCTTCGCTTGGTAGATAGAGAAGATACCCATTACTGTGCAACGGGAGCCAGGAACAACTCGGTTGGCAAGGTAGCGATCGGCCGAAATAAGGACGTGTCGCGGCATCTCACCCACTGGCACCTGGTCAGGGGCTTCTTGAAGCTTGAGGACTTGCTGGTCCACGAATTGACATCTCTCGTGGTGAACAACGTAAGGATCCAAGGGACATTGCTCGTTAGGTTGATCGTTGTCGTTCTTGGGTCGACCGCAGCGGCGTGGCAGCGATAGGCCAGAGAAGCCACCATCGACCTGGATGTTCTCGCTGTGATCGCAGCCCTTGCAACGAACGTGGATGATCGTTGATTTGGAAGATATTGTTGAAGCTCCAATCACAATTCCGGGGATGCGAACGAGGTGGGAGATGTTGGTGGCATTGAGATCACGAATAGAGATGTGCGATGCCGAAGAGTGTAGGAGCAGTTGGTGGGAGGGTAGTGTGATATCTCGCTGCCCGGGGTAGACAATCCGTGCAGTACATTGCTTCAAAGCCAGCTCAAACTACTTCGACTTAGCGAGGGTCAAAATTAGCGGGATAAAAAAAACTTACAAGAGGGATGATATCGCCGGGCTCGGTGGTGAGTTTGTGGGCCAATTCTTCGTTGTAAGAAATTAGATGAGCAATGTCAATATCGCAGTAGTATTGTTTAACAAGGGCATTTTGCCGTAATTGATCACTGTTTCATCATAAATTAGCCTCCATTGGACCCTCATGGCCGTGGGATGCGTACCGGTAGACGAATGCATTATCCAGCTGAAATTCTAGCACGAAATCCCGAAGGCGGTTTTGAATGGTGGTGCGATCTTCATCAGCACCATTTGTGCTAGGCGCAAGTACGCTCAAAGTATAGGGGGTGCGTCTATCCATGGCGTAGAGGACCGCAAATGTGGCAGGTTGGGGGGGTTGATGATTTGGCGGAAGGGAGGCTTCAAGAACTTTTGGTTAGTGTGGCACCAACGCGACGCGTCGAGGGTTCGCGCGTTAAGTGGTTTCTGAGTCAGCTGTCGCCTGAGGCCTAAATATTGTGGCCTTAGGCACAATGATCTGAGTCAGCACGGGGAAGCGCCCGGCGTTAGTGCTTTGGCCGATTGGGGCCATGACCAGCTTGATGGAAAGAAAGCCACATCACAAGCATTCTTCACCCAGGACCCGAGGCGATCTCGGACGAACATTTCTAATCGCGGAAGTCGACTTGACCTGTATCAGACCCCGTACCTGAGGCTGCTAGAGCTCTACAGTCAGGAGTCTATCCACTGTCATGATCAGATAACACGGAACATCACAACGATCGACCCTCCCCCGGTGGCTGTCCGATCCGGCTCGTGGCAGCCATGTCGACAACCAGTCCACGAAAGTCAATTGATAGCTTGGCGTCCGGGATGTCGTCGCCTTCAGTCTCTTATTCAACAAGTCAGCTGGAATCCCCACGTGTGGCCCCTCAGCGGCTCCCCCTGAGGAGGGGATCAACCGCGAGCTCTATCGTGAGCATTGGGGGTGTCCTAGAGTCTTCTCACTACCATGGCTCAATCTCGGAGTCTGTCGCAGAGTCTGGGCAGAATGGTTTGTTGCCTCGGAATTCCCAATTGCTCGATGATTGACCTGTTAACGCCCATGTAGCCATTTCGACCCTCCTCCAGCCCCCAATCATCCGCACCGGTATGACGACCGGTAGTGCCACATCTTCCGCCGGGTTCAAGCCTCCATCCTCTCGTGATATCCCGCCAGTGACTCTGACAAACATCAAGCATGTGGATGCAAAGGTCTTCCAGCCATATCTATCACAAGTGGGCAGTTTGTACGATGTATTTCAACAATCGAAAGAAGGCGCCGGGGAGGATACCCTACCGGCACAGGCTGCGAAGTCCCCGAAGCCAGATTCTGATCGCGATTCTTTGATGCCATGGTCCCCCGAGCGGAGATCTTCGATCATGTCGATCGCTTCAAGGTCATCTTCGCCGTATGATACTCGCGGCCGACGTCCCTCCAGTGCCCGTGGTCGTGCCCCCGCGGTTACTCCTCTATCCACCATCCCTCCGGTTTATTTCGAAGAGGGCTTCCATCTGGAAAATCCTCGTACGTTTGATGTGATATCAGAGAAATCAGATGTGGTTCGTCCGCCTCGTCCGCCGACCAAAGACGACAAACACACCAATGGATTAGTTGCGGAGCCGGTGCAAACTGGAAGAAAAGCACTAGCGACGAATGCTATTCTGCAAGAAAAGCTTTCGTGGTACATGGACACTGTGGAGATCCATCTTATTTCGTCTATCTCAACGGCATCCAAATCATTCTTCACTGCCCTAGGATCTCTCCGTGAATTGCACGCGGAAGCCGCAGACTCGGTTAACCGGATACAAGTGCTGAGAAAAGACCTGCAGAAAATCGATAAAGAAATGGCTCTAGGGGGGCTCAAAATTGTCAATTTGAGACGGCGAAGAGAAAATGTACGAATGTTGGCAGCTGCCGTGGCTCAGCTTCGCGATGTGGTCGAATCTGTGTCTCGGTGTGAAGGATTGGTAGAGCAGGGCGACATTGAGGAAGCTGCCGATGGACTCGAGGAAGTCGAAAACCTGATGGCCGGTGAAAAGCTCCCCGACCGTGCCTCTTCGCAGGATGAGGAGGGTTCCCCCAGGCACCTTATTGACCTGCGAGGCATCAAGGCCCTCGAGGGGGCATCTGATGACCTGGCACAGCTCCGCCAACGCATTGGCATGGGCTATGAGACCCGGTTCTTGAACGACCTTTTGGGAGATTTACGACAACATGTTCAAACCGTACCATCTAATTTAACCCTGCAGCGCTGGGGAAACTCATTCCAACGGCAGCGAGGTGGTCAGCGGTCCGGAATATCGATATCGCCTGCCTACATGAATTTCAATAACGAGTTGCGATCCCAATTGAACACCCAGCTCAACGGACTCGCGCGTGCGCACTATACAATGCCAGCGGCAACTTCTTTCAAAACCGCTGTTTTACGAGAAATGAAGGGCCTTATTCGCAAACACCTTCCCAGCTCTAGTGATGATGATAATGAATCTATGGTGTCACTATCGACACATAGCGGTCCTCAGCTAAGCCAACAAGAGAAGTCATCGATCCTTGCTCGCAATCTGCGTGCTCTCGACCCAGATGATGCTTATGCGATGTTGATGAATGTATACACCGGGATCAGTGAATCGCTCAGGCGACTCAGCGTCCAAGTTAAGGTTCTTCTAGATATTGCTAGCGGGTTGGGGAATTCGCCCACTTCCGGTGTCAAATCACCACCACGAAGCCCCAATCCGCAGAGTATGAGTATGGATCAAGCTATAAACTCTTCACAGATCGGGCCAACAGCCTCTGACCTGGCCCAGGATGAGATTCTGCAGGTTTTGGATATGTCGAGTCTGCTTGGTCAGGCAGTTGACATCGCGCAATCTCAGATAACAAAGGTGTTGAAGGTACGATCTGAACAAACCGCCCAGTTGTCCAAGGAGGAATTCCTGAGGTACTTCACTCTCAATCGCCTGTTCGCCGATGAATGTGAGGCCATCTCGGGACGCAGTGGTACTGCTCTAAAGACTATTGTCGGAAATCAAATCCGCGATTTCATTACCCGTTTCGGTGATGGTCAGCGCCATCAAATTGTCAATGTCATGGATGCCGATCGATGGGATGCACGCGATTTCGGAGATGCCGAGAACGTCATCCTTACTAGGATTCTCGATGCAAGCACCAAAGACATTGACGCCTGGGTCGAGGTTTCCAAGATCTGGATTCCACGTCCTGAAAATGATCAAGGCAAACCTGCTGATACTGCGGCCGAAAATGGGACAGACAAGTCCAAGGTTCGCAGTGCCGTCATCGACGAGCAGAAATACATTCTCCCTGACTCTGCCGTTGCCATGATGCGCAGCATTGAGGAGTTCGATTTCCTCATGTCGAATATCCCCAGCATGATCCAGGATATCGCGCCGCACCTACTGGATATCCTGAAACTGTTCAACTCGCGGTCATCGCAGTTGATTCTTGGGGCCGGCGCTACTCGTAGTGCAGGCTTGAAGAATATCACAACTAAGCATCTGGCGCTGTCATCACAAGCATTGAGCTTTGTGATTGCTTTGGTCCCGTATGTACGGGAATTCGTCCGTCGTCACGGACAGGCAAACCCCTTGATGGCCGAGTTCGACAAAGTCAAGCGACTATGCCAGGAACATCAGAGCGGCATTCACGAGAAATTGGTGGATATCATGGGCTCGCGCTCCTCAGTCCACGTGAACTCGATGAAGAAGATCGACTGGAATGCCAAGGGGGCGACTCCTGCTGTGAATCCTTACATGGAAACCCTGGCCAAAGAGACGGGCACTCTCCACCGCGTCTTGAGCAAACATCTTCCAGACATGACAGTTAGCATGATCATGATACCCGTATTCAACAGCTACCGTGATCAGTGGACGAAGGCCTTCCAAGAGGCCGACGTGCAGACGGAGGCTGGAAAGAAGAGGTTTGTTTGAACACTCGAATCCCGCTCATGAACAATACTAACCGTATACACAGAATGCAAGCCGATGTCGAACATTTCCGAACAAAACTGAGCAAAATCGAAGGCGCCAGCGAGGTTGGCAAAAAACTCCTCGAAGTCGTGCGAGCCAAGGCCATTACCATTAACAACGAACCCAAGAAATCTGAGACGAGTGTGAAGCAGCAAGATCAGGACAATGGGTCTGATTCCACCAAGTCCTAATCCGCATTCCCATCCCCGATTTATCCTTATATATATAATTTTCTTTCTGCATGTTCCTTTCTTGCCTGCGCGCTCATTCCCGAGCTGTACACTTTTTGTCATTGCCGCTACCACATAGCTGTCAACCAGTTGCATTTATAGAGCTAGCCCGGCGTTTGTGGATATGAATAAGAGCAGATGTGATTTTCATTCTATACATCTCCAGCATTACGCATTAGACAGTCGCTGAACCTGACATTGCTTCATGTTCGTGTGACTTTACTTCATTTACTCTTCCTACTAACCCAAGAACCAGATTTCATGACTTGAGGATATCGTGTATCATTCATAATATGTGCAAATCATCAAAAACACCAGAGACCATAATAATCATACAGAGTTGCCATCCAAACCATGGCATCACATCATAGCAGTTGTGGACCAATCACTTATTTTCCAGCAGTGTTCTTCTCATCAAGGGAGATGGGCTTGGCAGCACCACCGTGGGGGTGATCCGACCCAGCAGTAGGCAAGCCAGGGTATACGTCACGCCCGGAGCCAGTCTGCTCTGGCATGGGGGCAGCCTTGTGTGAGCGGCTCAGGTCTGCGGGCTGTGGAATTTGTTAGAAATTGTCCGAAAAGAATAACTGCACAGGATGTTGGAGTTGCAGTAACATACCTCATTGCCGACTCCGTGAGCCTTGTTAGGACCGTTCTCGATAGGGTTGTCGCTCTGGGGGACACCGTTGTCGAATTCTGCGCCGCGGACCATTTTGACTGATTTTTGGATGGGAGGGAAGTTCAAAGATGGAGTTTTGATTTTGTTTAGAATTGGTTGTTCTTCTTTGCTTGTAGGAATGGAAAGGAGGGTAATTGTTGCTTCTACTTATACTTGGTTTTCGTTGATTCATATCGTGAGCCGTGACAGCATTCTGAAATCATAGTGGGGAGTTATGACTTCATGGCCGTTGTAGTATCAAGATCTTTGCTCGATTGCCTTGGAACTGGGTCTAGAAATTTCATGGAATGGCAGAGATCGAGAGATCAATTAGTTAATGATTTCATCGAACAATTGCGATCGGGAAAATATTTCAACCTGTGCGCTCATTGCGTGGAATATATAGAACCGAGCGGAACCGATTTTCTTCAACTTTGGTTCTACACCACCACATTGCTACTGTCTACAACATATATCATATGCAGTTCAAAATTTACACAGTGAATCATCAATATTCATTCATTCTTTTTTTTTCATGTTCTAATTGATTATGCCATGATACTCAAATAGCCTGCTAAGTGGGGATATAGCATATCCTAGTGATGGCGGAAAAGGATGAATTCACCATGCTAGGGCCATACGTCTGTCAGGCAACAACACCCAAGAATGCTAAATGATAAGTGAAAGGGTTCTTGATATGAAAAAATCATTTGTTGGTGATTTCTGATGCTTTTTATGCCCCGAGATCTCAACCCTAACTTCAAGATGAGTGTAACAAAAGATTGACACATATCCGCGAGAAATAAATGAAACCCAACATAGGGAAAGTTAACAAAAGAGATCAGATGTCCTTGACCAACTCTCAATGAATGTCGACACCAACTGTTTCATCAACGGTATCTCCGGGTTTGTGCAGTCGATCCCGCAATTAGACACAATTCCAAGCCAGATGAACCAACACTTTGATCAATACGATCCGTTTCAACAGATAATAAGGACAAGCCATCTTCAGATACAGCATAAAACCCCCTGGGGCCTTCAGGACCAGCCCAACGTGGTTCAGGAGCAACGTCTGAGAAGGAGGCGGAGACACGATCCAACGCCCGAGGTCGAAGCCGAGGACCAACCACCACTGGCGGAGAGATGGCCCCAGATCGACAGGTCGAACAGTGCCGGCACTGCGGGCTAGCCCTGGGTGAAGTTGGTAGACTGTCCATGCGAGGTGGGAGGTGGGTTGGTTCTCGGGGGCTAAGTGGGTATGGCAGCGGAGGGATTCCAAATTGTGGGCTGTTGCTACCGTGGTGATGATATGGATGGCTGTGGAGAGAACGGTGCCGTCCTGCTAGACAGCCATCGCACATTGATTTTGGTCGGTCAGGGTACTGTGGGAGATCACTGGTTGCTGGTCCAGATGAGACCGGGGTGGTGGATGAGATGCCCGGTAGCTGAGAGCTGGGTTTTGCTGGCCCAGATGAAGAAGAGGTTGCAGATGAGTGACTCGAACGAGGTAGAGGAGGTAATGGCCCGTGTTGGATTTTACGCCGGAGACTGTATGGAGGACGTTGTACTGGTGCTGTCACATCACGGGATGTCTCTGCAGGAATGGGGGATAGGACATCATTCTGCGTATTGGTAGGGGTGATATCGCAACTTTTTCGAACTCTTAGTGGTCGTGGTTGCAATGGAACAAACGGGGAGATGTATCTATTCTTCACAATAGCATTACGCTTTCTCTGTGTTTGGCGGATGAGGAATTCCATGGTGTTCATCTGGGGGTTGGCTCTCTTGATGGACATATCTGACAAGGGACGTTGAATCACTGGTTTAGGGCCGTGTGAAGAGTGTTCTCCCGAACAGACCCCGCCCTCGAAAAGAACTGGTGAGCTGGAGTCCTGAAGGGTTGAGATGATGAGACAGCATAATGGTGGATCGGGTTGATGGATGAAATACAAATCGGGGAGTTGAGGAGCCAGCTCTGCAATCACCAGAGGGTTGGCCATGTGAAAATCAGACTCAACCAAAATGGGACATGACTGCCTAGATTGCTTTTCTTCACCACTCAACTCAGTAGGTAAGTCTGGGCTCATTTCCCCAAGTGCGGAGAGTTCGTACACATTCCTATTAACCTCTATTACAGAAATAGCGCCTGACTCCTCAGCCTTCTCATCCTCACTACTCAATTCAGATACGTCCGGATTCATGATTCTCAACACAGAACGTTCATCCCCTCGCCAGCTTCCACGGGTATCATGAGACTTAGGCTGGGCTGTAGGCACAGCAAGTTCTCCTCCGTCAACCAGAGGGTCGTTGCCCACGCCCAAATCAAGCCTAGAAGACCGTTGTTGCGGATTCCCCGACTGATCGGGTATGGGTTCAACCAGATCTACCAGCGATATGTCAAACTCATTCTCGAGCAGGGACCTCCTCACTGGGATAGATGTGTGATCATTGCGGTCTCGGAAAAAGCGAGACGGATATCGATCAGTGAGGGCACCAGAAACGATCCGATTAAGCTCACAGTCTGAAATACTTCGACGCTTTCGCTCGACCTTGTTGATCAACTTGATCCTCACGTTACCCAGAGGCGTGAAAACCCAACTTCTCAGCCAACGCTTAATCTTGGACCGCTTGCGGGTCTTCTTCCTTTCAGACATGCTTACTGCGACGGGCGATCGAAGCTCAGAACTCGGATTTATTAGAAGAGAGAGATGTTGGAGGACGGGAGGATGCAGAGGTTCTCTTTCTTGTCTCATCGTGTTCAGGCTATTATATACTTCTGGGCTGGTATACTGGTACCTCCGAGATCGACATCAATGAGCCTTTCAGTTGATGCATTTCGAACAAGTCACACAACATTGTCTACATGTATTTGGACTGGACTCCATCTCAGTTACAATGAGGATGGGAACAAACACAGATTTGAGGTTTTGGACGTTCTTTGATGATTTTGTCAACAACGATGGTCCTTTGTTCTCCAAGTGCCCAGGTGTGTGTCTCTACTTTGATGACTCAACCGCTGTGGTACTTTCTACCCATATAGGTAGCTAGAAACACAGGGTAAAGGAAGATTGGTTTCACTGTTCTGGAGTGCCTGGCACAATCTATCCGTGGCCATCTTGCAAATAGGTGTATTATACTGCGCAGGTGGAAGCATCCTTGAGTTAGGTCAGACATTGCAGGATTTCGGAGATATTCCCTTTGAACTAGGAAGAGAACCACCTAGGTAGAGAAAAGGAACACAATGTTGTACAAAAAAAATATTTTGCATCTGCACTGTTGTACGGTATAGGTAGATTTGAACACCAATGAGGAAATCAAACTGCCAAGACGATCATCCCCTCCAACATGGTCCGCGCGTCCTTGCCGCCAATAAATGCGGGTGATTGAAGCCATTTCAAGCCATTTGGGGTCATTGGTGGCCATTGGTGGCCCTTCGTAGTCACATTCATTGCGATTTGTAGGATGATCCAAGCTCTGGCGGGTCCTCTCCGACGCTCAGTGGAGCAAATTGTGAGATGACATCATGGCTCCAGCTTTCCCCAGATCCAACGATAAACTGCAATTGGATTGGCCCTGAGCTCTGTAGATTGGGATTGAAGGCAAATAAATGTAGATCAGGTGCCCAATAATCGGAGAAACCCGAGAGATGAGGTAGCAAAGGGGGAAATATAGGAGAAGGAGAGAGGCAAAAACCAGGAGAGCAGGAGACAGTGGGGTGATCCCACTTCCTTGTTACTCCTGGGACTATGGAGTACCTTGTATATTGCTATGACTGTTACATATCAGGAACAGAATACCAATACTTTAATAACTACAAAAGAAATAAATCTCTTCCAAATATAAATACTATACGTACTTTTCTCAACAGTCTCGGGTGGAATTTCCCTCGCAGAGACTTTTTAGCCTAAGCGCACGGTAAAAAAGCCTTGGAGGGTCACACCCGTCAACCAGTCCGGAGAAAAACTCTTGACCGGAACGAGGAAACGGTAACTCTCCTGTGCTTTTCTCTTCAAAATATCTCTTTGACCTCATCTTCTTCAATTTGATCCACTTCCCCCCCAACTTCCCCCCCCAGCCACCCCAGAAGCTCAAGTCGCAAGGTCCACTTCTCCCCGCACAGACCGAGTCGGACAGCTCTTCCAAGGTTGTTGCGATCATCCCCCCTTTCCTCGCGTTTCATTTTTCTTTTGCTTTTCTGAGAAATACATACCTTTGAACATAATGGAGGAAAACGGCGAACCCATCAAGCGTGATGTGCGCAACCACATGCTCTTCGAGGTGGCTACTGAAGTAGCCAACCGAGTAGGCGGCATCTACTCGGTCCTCAAGTCCAAAGCTCCTGTGACCACCGCCGAATATGGCGAGCGGTACACCCTGATCGGCCCACTCAACAGGGCTTCAGCTGCGGTGGAGGTTGAGGAGCTATCCCCGGCCAACCCGGCCTTGCGGGAGACGATCAAGTCTATGAAGGAGCGTGGTATTGATATTCTCTACGGTCGCTGGCTGATTGAGGGTGCCCCTCGGGTTCTGCTCATTGACACGAGTACTGGATATCGGTGGTTGGACGAGTGGAAGGGCGATCTTTGGACTACTTCGGCCATCCCGTCCCCAGCTGGTGATAATGAGACCAATGAGGCTATCGTTTTTGGTTACTTGGTTGCTTGGTTCTTGGGAGAGGTACGTTCCAACAACTGTTCTAAACGTTGGAGATGGCAAAAGAGCTTGACTGACCATATGCCCCGCTATAGTACATTGCTCATGACCGTCGCCGGGCGGTCATCGCCCATTTCCATGAATGGTTGGCTGGTGTCGCTCTGCCACTGACCAAGAAGCGGCACATGGACCTCACAACTGTCTTCACTACCCACGCGACATTGTTGGGTCGTTACCTCTGTGCTGGATCGGTTGACTTTTATAATAACCTCCAGTACTTTGATGTGGATGCGGAGGCCGGGAAGCGAGGAATCTACCACCGCTACTGTATTGAGCGGGCTGCTACTCATGCCTGTGATGTCTTTACCACTGTATCGCATATCACTGCATTTGAGAGTGAGCACCTGCTGAAGCGGAAACCCGATGGCGTGCTGCCTAATGGTCTGAATGTCAAGAAGTTCTCTGCCATGCACGAGTTCCAGAACTTGCACTCCCAAGCCAAGGAGAAGATCAACGATTTCGTTCGCGGTCACTTCTACGGCCACAACGACTTTGATCTAGATAACACTCTATATCTGTTCACTGCGGGTCGCTACGAATACCGCAATAAGGGAGTCGATATGTTCATTGAGGGGCTGGCCCGCCTCAATCATCGACTGAAGGCTGCTGGGTCGACTATGACCGTGGTCGCTTTTATCATTATGCCAGCACAGACATCTTCATTGACAGTGGAATCGCTCAAGGGACAGGCCGTCGTCAAGTCTCTGCGCGACACCATCGAGAACATCGAGAAGGGGATCGGCAAGCGCATGTATGAGCGCTGTCTTTCCTGGAAGGAAGGCGACAACATGCCTGACGAGAAGGATCTCATCACCAGTCAAGATCGCGTGATGCTCCGTCGTCGCCTGTTCGGCATGAAGCGTCATGGTCTTCCCCCGATTGTCACCCACAACATGCACAATGACCACGAGGACCCCATCCTGAACCAGCTGCGTCGTGTGCAACTGTTTAACCACTCCTCCGACCGGGTTAAGGTTGTCTTCCACCCCGAATTCCTCAACTCCGCCAACCCTGTATTGCCGCTTGACTACGATGACTTCGTTCGCGGAACCCATCTGGGTGTCTTCCCCTCTTACTACGAGCCTTGGGGATATACGCCCGCCGAATGTACAGTCATGGGTGTCCCTAGTATCACCACCAACCTGTCCGGATTCGGTTGTTATATGGAGGAATTGATTGAGAACTCCTCTGACTATGGAATTTACATCGTGGACCGTCGCGCTAAGGGCGTTGATGACTCGGTCAACCAACTGACCGAGTTTATGTTCAACTTCACGGAGAAGAGTCGTCGTCAGCGCATTAACCAACGTAACCGTACGGAGCGTCTCAGCGACCTGCTCGACTGGAAGAGAATGGGTTTGGAATATGTCAAGGCTCGCCAACTGGCATTGAGAAGAGGTATGTCACAATTCTATTGTTTTTGCAGTGATCAGAATTAATCCATTGTACAGCTTACCCGTCCTCCTTCGAGGGTCAAGAGGATTACTTCGATATCATTGGAGGGACGGAACAGAAGCTTTCCCGCCCGCTTTCCGTTCCTGGATCCCCTCGGGATCGTTCCGGAATGATGACACCGGGTGACTTTGCCTCTTTACAGGAAGGCCATGAGGGATTGAGCACCGAGGATTATATTGCCTGGAAATTGCCGTGAGTTCTATCTAATCATTGGTATTTGCCAAATACTAATACATTCCACAGTGAAGAGGAAGAGCCCGAAGAGCACTTCCCCCTCACACTGCGAACTCGCAAGATGGGGGAACGTTCTGCATCCCCACTGGATAGTATATCGATCAATGGCCACGACGAGTCCGAAAAAGGAGCCGGCACAGAATAACCGAGGGTATTGGAACCCTTGTTTTAGTTGTCTTCATCATTGGCCCTCAATCCCCGTTGGAGTGGGCACTCTCCCATTGACGTCATGTGTACTTGTTTAATCACTCTGCTTTTTATGATCTTTTTCCCTAGCAGTGCATCTGAAGCCTATGTTTGTTTTTTAATTAAACTGAATGAAATCGAGAGTTATACGTTGTACGTTGCAAGGATATCGGGTGTAATGCTGTCCTCCCCTCCGCGGAGGGATGAGCTCCGACAATATCCACTTGAACATCAGCCCAGGTGACACCGGAGATGCATCGGAGCCTTGGAAATATTGAGTTACGAGGTCAGGCAATCATAGCCGGTTATTCTCGCTCCGGTGAACCTTTAGCGAACTATGATTCATCGTACTTCTGTGTGCTATTTCTACCCCTCCTGCCCCTCCATCTTCTTTCTCCCACCATCACTCTTCCACTCAACTACAGTTCGACTTTCGACCAACGTCTACCACCGGTACGACTCTCCAATGGAGCCGCGCACGTCCGGGACCCCGCGGGGTTGCAGGACACAGTCCTCGCTACGATGAAGAGATGGGTCAAGGTATTTGTTCGTATAACAGTCGTTGCCACCGCATGACAGGTGTTCGGTCCAGCCAGTTGATTGGGAAGAACTACAAACCTATACATATATCCCAGGTCTCCTGGAGTATTGTATAGGTTTCTTCCTATATCAACTGGCTGGCTGTTCTGAGATTATACTGTCAAAACTTGATCTAGACAATACTAGCGAAAGGACATGCGTGACTTTTGATTGTTCCCCTGTTTTGTGTTTTGTGTCTGGTTCTGCTCACATTGTCCTATGCTGGTTTCTGTTCAATTGAATACATAGATTGAATGGAGAACGGCATAGACAGAGCAGAGCTGGATACTTTCTCTCTTGGCATGCTGACCCAATTGAAGTATTGAAATAGCTTGATCTTTCTGCCATCATGTCTACCGACAAGATTACTTTTTTGACCAACTGGTATGCTGACATTGTCTCAGAATTCGAGTTTTCGAGCTCTCTTGTGCTCCATCTTGTAGTTCGACTTGGCTAAGTTATTTTCTTTCTAAAGGCACGCCACCCCGTACCACGCCCCCCTCTACCTCGCCCAGGCCAGAGGCTACTTCAAGGATGAAGGTCTCAAGGTGGCTCTCCTCGAGCCCAATGACCCCTCCGACGTCACCGAGATCGTCGGAAGCGGCAAGGTCGACATGGGCTTCAAGGCTATGATCCACACCCTGGCGGTGCGTATCCTTCTAGAAAATACAACTATCTCAACCATACTAATACCAAGTCCAGGCCAAGGCCCGCAACTTCCCGGTGACCTCCATCGGCTCCCTTCTCGATGAGCCCTTCACTGGAGTCGTATACCTGAAGTCCAGCGGAATCACCGAGGACTTCCGCTCGCTGAAAGGCAAGCGCATCGGCTACGTCGGCGAGTTCGGCAAGGTATGGAATTCACCCCCCTAACCACTATACAACCCACCGAACAAACCCTAACATAATCCCAGATCCAAATCGACGAACTCACCAAGTACTACGGCATGACCGCAGACGACTACACCGCTGTGCGCTGCGGAATGAACATAACCAAAGCGATCGTCAACGGCACCATCGACGCAGGCATCGGTCTCGAGAACGTCCAAATGGTCGAACTTGAAGAATGGCTCGCCGGCCAAAACCGACCCCGCAGCGACGTCCAAATGCTCCGCATCGACCAGCTCGCCGAGCTCGGCTGCTGCTGCTTCTGCTCGATCCTGTACATCGCCAACGACGCCTTCATCGCCGCGAACCCGGAGAAGGTATCCGCATTCATGCGCGCCGTGAAACGCGCCACCGACGATGTCCTGGCTGACCCTGCCGCCGCGTATGCGGAGTACATTGACGTCAAGCCGATCATGGGCACGGATGTCAACCGCAAGATCTTTGAGCGGTCGTTTGCTTACTTCTCGCGCGATTTGAAGAATGTTCAGCGTGATTGGACTAAGGTTACCAACTATGGAAAGAGATTGGGGATCTTGGAGGAGGGTTTCGTGGCCAATTATACCAATGAGTTCCTTTCTTGGGGATTGGATGCTGACTCCACTGATCCTATTGGTGACCAGAAGCGTATGGCTGCCCTCCAGCAGGAGGTTGCTGCTGATGGTGGTTACAAGCGTCTTGAGATTAAGGCTTCGGCTTAGCTCGGGCTGAGGCTTTGGCTGCTGCTTGGCTCTATTTTGAGATGATGTTTATCATAGGCTTCACTCTTTAGCCTTTGTTGCTTGAGTCAAATTGGAATCCCTGCCCTATTGGTATATCACTTGTGCTGTAATCCATGTAGGGAAACCTACATAATCATCGTAGGTTTTATCAACGTCGAGTATATCGGGAGTATATTATAACTACCTTAAAGTCTACAAAACGACCGTCCAGAAAACCTATTAGAAAAAGAATCGGTTTGTTTGGGAAGAAATGTGTTGATAGTATTGGGGATATTTCCAACGTCGTTAACGCTAACATCAAGATCAAGATCATATCTCATAACAGGGCACCGTATTACAGCCTCCAGTCATTATCAAGGCACAGTTGGGGATACAGCTTCATTCCCTGGGCGATCAAGCATGGCTCGTAGCCGACCCTCCGCGGACTGCAAAGCAGGACTAGATTCTGGTTCAGCGATACTCGCAGTCCACCTCAGCCAACCAAGAAGGGATTGGATTATTTCTGGACCTGAGCTTTCCATGTTGTCAGACGAACCATAACTACCCAGAGCAGGTTGCGGGAGGATATTGAATTCAGCGGAGGACCCATCATTTGCAATCGCCTCTAGATGAACCTCTGACACTACAGCAGGAGTGGACATCTGAGATGAATGCTGTTCGCCCCTGCTAGCAGCATCGATCTTCGCAAGTAGATCGCGTCCGCTGTGCTTAGGTTTTGATGCGAATTCGCGCGTGAAAGGGGTTGAGGATATGGTCTCTGGCGGAATAGCAAAAACAGTTTCCACCTCGGAGGCCATGGTAGGAGATAGTGGAGAATTGGGCTGTCTGAAGGTCGTTGGGCTAGATGTACCATTCTGTTCGAGTATAGACGCAGTTTGTCGCAGATTTTCCAGATACCGATGAAACGAGAATGGGTTCATATCGCGAGCTGGATCTGGACTGGCCTCATCCTCAACAATGACTGTGTTGCCGTCGTCGGTACCTCGTTCCTCGTTAGACCTGGCCTCTTCAACAGGTCCCAGCGCACCCGAAGGTGCGCAAATCTCACCCAATGGCGCGATGTGACTCCCATACTCATTGGAAAGACTCAGCTTGCTCCGCCCACAGATCTCAGCAATCGAGTCCAGAGTCCCACGGATATCCGGCTCGATGGCCTGCAGTATACTTTCAATACTGAAATCCTTATCCGTAGGAAACATGACATCAGACTGTGACGGACGAGATGGAGCCGAGCTCTTTGAGCCAGAGAATGAGAGGAACCGACGCGCAGACATAGTAGATGGTCGTCTAGTTCTACCCTGCGCATCTCCCGAATACGCTCTGACAAGCACGGGGCGCGAAGCGAGTGTAGACGAGCGCCTTCCAGAGGGGTTATCAACTCGGATAGGACGAGATGCAGGCCTCGGGGAACCGTTGATCTGTCGCAGAGCCGTGGCACGATATGCGGCGGCGGGGTCGTCGGCGACGGAGTCGTATCGTTGGTTTGTCTGGTCTGAAGGGCCAACAGCGGGCACGACTGGAGACGCGTGTGGTGGGGATAGTAGTCGGGACCATCCTTGTCGAGGTAGGGAAGACGACGGCAGTCGTGTATCAGGCAATGTATCAGACTCCATCTCTGTACCGGTTTCGGTAGCGCACAGCTACGTGTAATGCAGGAGACAGCGCAGACTCTGACCCCGCTCTGAGAGGCACAGGACTCTAAGAGGGTTAGGTTTGGCTCACGAGGGATTTATCCACGTCGCATGCGCAACACATATTCTCCGGCATGCGTTGGGCGTTTTGTTTGGATGTAAATCATCGAAACGGGTAGTGGGGGGAAGTTGGGGAAGCTTCCAGGGTCTGATGCGCGGACCACCGAAGCTGTCAGTGTGGTTCAGGTACCTTATCTCCGTACAGTACACTACCTACATATGTAGGTATTAAAATAAACCTCCTTAGAAAGAGATATGCCAGAACACTCCGTAGTCTAAGGGTACAAAAAAGAAATGGCTCTGCCGCGATTTGAACGCGGGACCCCCCCGTTGGCACTGATAAGTACGAGCGGGATGCCTTAACCACTGGGCCACAAAGCCATTGTGAATGCCTGAATTTGCCAAATATGGCCTCTTGAGAATATGCCCCACAAGCTATACCGAGGCATATGCCACCACCACCACGTTTCCCTAGTGTTTACTTATCCATTGCCCACCCTTCGCCCGCACGCACCATGAATCGGTTCCAAGTATGAATCCACGTGACTCTCATTGACACCTCATCTAATCTCCTATAGTTCGGCGACTCCGACGGGTCTGTCTCCTCCGACTTTGACGAAGACCCATCCGGCCTGCCCTTCCCGGAACCGCTATCTCGCACCTCATTCCTCGCCCCTGACTTCGACCCAGCCACTTTCCTGTCATCATTGACGAACCGTCATCAAAGCCTCGAGGATCTCCGGCAGGAATTACGGGGACTGGAGCAATTCCTGAACAAAGAGCTGTTGGATCTTGTCAATGAGAACTATCAGGACTTTCTCTCGTTAGGCAGTGCGCTTCGTGGGGGCGAGGAGAAAGTCGAGGGTGTGAAGGTCGGCGTGCTTTCCTTCCAGCGCGATGTCAAAGCTATCCGGGATAAGGTCGAGGCGCGACGACAGGAAGTGGAAGAGCTGCTGAATGAGAAGCGGCGGCTACGGACGAACGCGGACGTCGGCAAAGACCTATTGGACTATGCGGATCGGGTAGAGGAATTGGAACACCGGTTGATGATCGGGGACAAGTCATCGCAAGAACATTCACCGGATGAATCGGATACAGAGTCTGATTTGTACAGCGGGGAGAGTGAAGACAGCGATGACGATGAGCTAGTGGATGGTTCACCCGCAATCTCATTGAAGAGGATGGAACGTCATGCGCAGAAGTTTGTCTATTTGACATCGATAGCTGCCCGGGTCGGCGAGAAGCATCCCTTCCTACTTGCACAGCAACCGCGAGTCGCAAAGATCAAGTCCACGGTGCTCCTGGATCTCAAGACTGCCTTGGAACAGGCCACCGCGGCAGGTGGGAAACAGGGAAAACGCGATACTAGGACAATGGCAGTTCTGCGCCTCTACGAGCTTATGGGTGAGGATGTCAGTGCCGTCGCCGCGCTGAAGAACCTCAAGCTGTAAAAACAACGTGCCTCGTCCTGAAAATTGGCAATGTGCACTGGTTTGCATACATAGCGTCGGCGTTTGGTCTTATAAAGTTCTAATTCAACAATGATACCATGATACACCATGTCCTTTCCTAATAAAACAATAAATTTGTACACGCCAAAGGATATAAAGAAAATTGAGTATGTTACATGCCCTTCAGGGCGGAGGTTGCGGGGGAGGCATCGGAGCTAAACTCGCCGTTGAGTGAAAATCCGGGTCCGTTCGTCGAGCTCAGTACCTGATGGTGTTGTTAGAAGCTTGTTTCCACAAATAAAATCAATTAGAGTACTTACCACCTCATAGACCTCCTTGTTGACACGGTCGGTCAGCGCGGAAGCATCCTTCTTAATTTGGTCGAGGGTCACGCGCATGTTGTCGCGCAATTGCTCCGGAGAGAAGCCCAATTGTCCGATAGGCAGGCGGATAACGGCATCACGCTCACGGTACACGGTACCACCACGGAGCATCTCCACTCGCGCAGCCACGTCTTCCACAACGGTACCGGTCTTCGCACTGGGCATCAAACCACGAGGACCGAGGATACGACCCAGGGCGGCCTTGTTCAACGCCGGCAAACTGTCAGGGTGGGCGAGACAGCGATCGAACTCAATAGTGCCTGCCTTGACAGCATCGAACACTTCTTGTTCACCGACAAGAACAGCACCGGCGGCAAGCGCTTCCTTGGCTGCTTTCGAACCGGGGGGACAGATGACACAGATGCGGGATTCGGTCTGGACGGCGTGGGGGAATCGGAGCATATTACGAATGACGGGGCCGTCGCGCTTTGTCCGCAGTCGGATGTGCAGTTCGTATTTTTGGACGGACGGTTCGCGACCGACTTCGATGGCCCGGATATATCTGCAGAAAGAAAGGTGTCAATTGATGACCCTGGTATTGACTGACGTCCCAGTTTCTGATGCTCAGTACATACCGCATAGCATCACACAGAGAATACTGCGGCATATCCTTCAAATTGATTTGCCGGAACTCCTGGGGTCCTTTTCGGCTCTTGGTAGGCTGCTCTTTCCCCTTCTTTGGCTTGTTCTTGAGACCTCGGACCTGCTGGAAAGTCGAGAGAACTGGAGCGATTGAGGTGTTCCGCAGCGGATTCCGGCATGATGAGAGGATTCCGCGTGCCGCAGTGGGCAGAACCGAGCCGGAGGACGACATGTTGACAGGCGTTGATTCGAGCTGATCGACTGGATGAAGCAATTGTTTTCTGCCGGAAAGCTGTCGGGCTCGGATAAATGTGGCTCCGGACGGGGACTGTAGATAATGACTCTGCCCCTCCAGAAATTCACATTGCTTCTTACACTACACTTCTACACAATGTCTGAGTACGAGTTGAAAGTGGCCACTCGTGGCAACCACGCGGCTCTTCTGCCCGTGGTTCTCATCGTCACCTCCATCAATGAGGCCCGCCCTACCCCCGTCGTCACCATCACCTACGAGGACACTGCTCTTCTCCAGGATGGCGACAAGGCCATTGTGCAGCTCACCACTGGCTCCAACTCTGTCTTTGGCACTGCCAATGTCATCCAGGAGCTTACTGCTCACTTCCCTTTCCTGACTAGCAAGGATTCCAAGATCGTAAGTTACCACTACTACCCCGCGGTCGAGTCATTTTTAACCATGCAATAGGAGGCCGAGTGGATCTCTCAGTTGGATTCCCTGACCACCCTTGACTTCAAGGCCCTCGATCCCGTGCTCCAGCGCCTTGATACCCACCTCCTTATGCGCTCGTTCGTCGTCGGATACTCTCTGTCTACCCCCGACATTGCCCTCTGGGGTGCTCTCCGTGGTAACCGTGTCGCCGCTGCGGCCCTGAAGAAGGGATCCCTGGTCAACCTTACCCGCTGGTACCGTTTCTTGGAGGAGCTTTGCCCCTGGACTACCGCTGCTGTGGAGTCCATGAACGCAGTTGCTAAGGAGAAGAAGGTGGCCAAGTCCAAGGAGGGTGCTAGTTACGACATTGCACTCAAGAACACCGAGAACGGTGTCGTTACCCGATTCCCTCCCGAGCCTTCGTGAGTTATTCCCGATCCCTGCTCCCTGGTCGCTTGATTTGCTCTGTCATCTAGACTAACCCAGTTCTCTAATGTAGTGGATATCTCCACATTGGTCACGCTAAGGCCGCTCTTCTCAATGACTACTTTGCGCACGAGAAGTACAACGGTACTATGCTCCTTCGATTCGACGATACCAACCCTTCCAACGAGAAGCAGGAGTTCGAGGACGCCATCGTGGAGGACCTTGCGCTCATGGGCATCAAGCCTAACAAGATGACCTACACCAGTGACTACTTCGACGAGCTGTACGACTACTGTATCAAGATCATCAAGCAGGGTGACGCCTACGCGGATGATACCGATAAGGAGACTATGGCCGCCCAGAGATGGGACGGCTTGCCTAGCCAGCGTCGCGATCTTTCCTCCGAGGAGAGCTTGTCGCGCCTAGAGGAGATGAAGAGCGGCACCCCCGAGGGTCTTCGTTGGTGCATCCGTGCTAAGATCTCTTTCGACTGCCCTAACAAGGCCATGCGTGACCCCGTCATCTACCGCTGTAACCCAGCGGTCCACCACCGCACCGGTAGCAAGTGGAAGATCTACCCGACTTACGACTTTGCCTGCCCTATCGTTGACTCCATGGAGGGTGTCACCCATGCTCTGCGTACTATCGAGTACCGTGACCGTAACCCCCAGTACCAGTGGATGCTGGACACTATGAAGCTGCGCAATGTGCAGGTGTGGGATTTCGCCCGCATGAACTTCGTTCGCACCCTCCTCTCTAAGCGTAAGCTGACCAAGCTGGTCGAGACTGGTCTTGTTTGGGGCTGGGATGATCCTCGCTTCCCTACCATTCGTGGTATTCGTCGCCGCGGTATGACAATTCCCGCTCTCCGTGAGTTCATCCTTAAGCAGGGCCCCTCTAAGGCTGTGACCAACTTCGATTGGGGTCTTATCTGGGCAACCAACAAGAAGTACATTGACCCTATTGCCCCGCGCCACACCACCATCTACAACAAGAACGTTGTCAAGACCACGGTCACCGGTGGCCCTGCTACCCCTTACTCTGAGGAGAAGCCTCGTCACATCAAGAACGCCGCCGTCGGCATGAAGAAGGTTGTCTACAGCAGCTCTATCATCCTCGAGCAGGAGGATGTCAAGCTGTTCAAGCCTGACGAGGAAATCACTCTTATGAACTGGGGTAACGCCATTGTCCGTAAGGTCAGCACCAATGCTGAGGGCATCATCACCGATCTCGAGCTTGAGCTGCACATGGCCGGTGATGTCAAGAAGACCGAGAAGAAGGTTACTTGGCTTGCTACCGAGGGACAGGACCTCGTCCCCGTCGAGCTGGTCGACTTCGACCACCTTCTGACCAAGGATTCTCTCGGTGAGGATGACGTTCTCGAGGACTTCCTCAACTTACACACCGAGTTCCGCGAGGAGGGTCTGGCCGACTGCAACGTCGCTGATCTCAAGGAGAGCGACATCATCCAGTTCGACCGCAAGGGCTACTACCGCGTTGACCGTGCTTACTCTCCTGGTAAGCCTGCGGTCTTCTTCAACATTCCTTCCGGCAAGTCCAAATAGATCCTGTGTCATGATATGAAATATGTTTTATGAGTGATCTGTGAAAAGAAGAATGAAAGATGTTTATATGCTTCCAATTGGCTTTCAGTAAAATGAATATAAATACAGGAGACCCGCTTGCTGAGCTCTGGGGAGTTGCATGGGAGGTTGGGAATAATTCCATTTCGATCAAGGTCTGATGGAAAAAGGGGGCAGGGGGCAGGAGGCACTTGCCATGCACGCAGGTTGGAAATGGTGAGGAAAGAAGGAGAGGAAGCTCAAACTGCGAAAGAATTCCAGGTAGATATAACCTCTTCCCATTCCTCCCAATGGTTGTTTGCTACTACAGTTTTAATCCGATTCCTGCCTGAATCCCCGGCCTTCCTCTCAGCAACTCTACCAGACAATCATATAGGCATTCACGCGTGATTTGACTGCAGGTATGGGCATTGGATGATACCATGGGCTGTTTTGGGGCAGACTCAACGTCTCGTGTAGGGCTGAACAGGGTCACGTGTGACCAAAGCAGACTACAATAGCCCCCCTAGGCAAGTTGTTCATTACTATAGTTCTTATACTTTCTACGTCCTGGGCTACCTAGTTCGATTTCCGACAGCTTGGTTTCTCCTGACGAATCATGAAACTGGCGTCGAATGGATGTCAATTCCGCCGGCCGGCTGTCAGCGGAATGGGCGCGCATGACGTCAAAGCTTACCGATATGCACACTGTTGACATCCGGAGAGCCGCTCGCCTTCCACAGCAGAAACTGTGCCTAGCTAGTTCGTTCACTTGTCCTTGGATTCCCCGGTTGCTTCGGGATCGGGTGGTATTATAACTACCATGTCATACGCCCAATGATTGTCCCGGGCTGACTGGGACTGATTGACAATAGTCTGTGCATGTTTCATTTTATATCTGTGATAATTCCAATACAGCACAATATCCTGCGGCCATAGACACATGCCCTGAACCTTCCAAGGTCTTTCTCGGTCACCTTTGTTCTAGCCCTTGCCGAGGGCAGACCTTGCATGACCCATGGGTGAATGCCCTATTGGCTTGAAGTCGATTCAGGTACCTGCCTGCACCACTAGCTGCTTTTAATGTTAGCAATGACCGAACTGCTCTATCATTCGTCTGGATTTGTTGAACCAATCTTCTAGCATCGACATCCGGCGGGAATTCTTCGGGTCGTCCGCGGCTCGTCCCTTTTGAGACCTGGTTGCCTGACTTCATCTTCCTTCAAGTGCCGAGCATGGAGACTCACCAAATAAGCATACATGCGTTGGTGTGAGATGTCTGTCCCGGGGGGTTCCTAGCTCGACGTCAGCATGATTTGCTTTGAAAGGGAAATTTTCGTTAAGCAAGCAGCTTTTTTCTTTTCTACTCCAGATAATATCGCAATCATCTTCGATTCTTGTCATCCTGAAGGTGGCAAGACGCGAATGTAACATTGGAAACACTCATTTTATTTGATATCATTGTTCCTTCATTTCTATATCCTTTTTGTTTCGTGCATTCGTTCTCATCATAATCAATAATCTTGTCTCCTTTGACAGGTATGTATCTATCAAGTTTGTCTGTGTTGGAACAAGTTTGATCTGACTTAGAAAGACATCCATGACCGGCGAGGGCAAAGCCGGGCGTGCCGACGCTCGTCGCCGTAGCTCACGTATCTCTCGGGCATCTCTGAGCGGGGACTGGAACAGTCTGGACGAGTATGGCAAGCTTGTGAAGTATGTTTCGACATTCCGTGATGCCAATGCAGCGGATGAAGAGCAGGGCGAAGTGGTCGAGAAACGAGTATGGTACGCCCCATGGAAGAAGCGAAAGGTCCACGTCAGAAAGGTCGAGGGAGAAGCTGGCAAGTTTCCCGATGAGTGGACCATGACGGATATCAGAGAGGGACTTTCTAGCCATGAAGTTCCACTGCGTCGTCGTCGGGCGGGGTGGAATGAGTTGACATCCGAGAAGGAGAATCCCATTGCTAAGATCCTGTCTTACTTCCAGGGTCCAATTCTCTACGGTGGGTCCATATCACTCCTTCCTTGACTACCGCGCTGACTTGGGCATAGTCATGGAGTTGGCTGTTTTGCTTGCTGCCGGTCTAGAAGACTGGGTTGACTTCGGTGTCATTATTGGGATACTGTGTCTGAACGCGGCAGTGGGCTGGTATCAGGAGAAGCAGGCTGCTGATGTGGTTGCGAGTCTCAAGGGTGACATTGCCCTGCGCGCGCAGGTTATTCGTGACAGCACCCAACAAGAATGTCTTGCTCGAGAGTTGGTTCCAGGCGATGTAGTAAGTTTTTTCTGGATTGGCTGCAAGATTGGTACATAACAGGCTCTAATCAATAATTTAGGTCATTATTGGTGAAGGCCAAGTCGTGCCTGCGGACTCCAGGGTTATCTGTGACGTGAAGGATGAACATGGCTGGGAAGAGTTTAACCAACTTCAAGAGCAGGGTATGCTCGGTGGAGGGTCCGAGTCTGATGAAGAGGAGGACCCAACCAAAACCGACAAGAAGAAGGATGAAGGCGATGGCAAGGCTAAGGAGGATGACGAACACCAGGCGAAGAAGGCTCGCAGACGTGGATATCCTATTTTGGCTTGTGACCACTCCGCCATCACCGGCGAGTCGCTAGCCGTGGATCGTTATATGGGAGATACGATCTTTTATACCACTGGCTGCAAGCGTGGCAAGGCCTATGCAGTCGTTCAAACGGGTGCGAGTACTTCCTTCGTTGGCCGCACAGCAAGTATGGTACAATCTGCTAAAGGTGCTGGCCACTTTGAACTTGTCATGGACAACATCGGAACATCTCTCTTGATTCTTGTCATGGCCTGGATCCTCGCTGCGTGGATTGGTGGATTCTTCCGTCATATTCCTATTGCTTCCCCCGGTCAGCAGACTTTGCTTCACTACACTCTATCTTTGTTGATCATCGGTGTGCCTGTCGGTCTACCTGTTGTGACCACTACCACCATGGCTGTTGGTGCTGCGTATCTGGCGAAAAAGAAAGCCATTGTGCAAAAGCTGACCGCAATTGAATCCCTGGCCGTAAGTCTGCATCACCTCGGACTACCATCAAAAACTGACAACGAAGTAGGGTGTTGACATTTTGTGTTCCGATAAGACCGGAACTCTCACAGCAAACAAACTGAGTATTCGTGATCCTTATGTAGCTGAAGGCGTCGATGTTGATTGGATGTTCGCCGTTGCTGCTCTCGCATCCTCGCACAATATTGAATCTCTCGATCCGATTGATAAGGTGACAATCTTGACGCTTAGACAATACCCAAGAGCACGAGAAATCTTGCGACGGGGTTGGTCAACTGAAACATTCACACCCTTTGATCCGGTTTCAAAACGCATTGTCACAATTGCTACCTGTGACGGCATTCGGTATACCTGCACCAAGGGCGCTCCGAAAGCCGTGCTTCAATTGACGAGCTGCTCCAAGGAGACTGCTGACTTATACAAATCTAAAGCCCAAGAATTTGCCCATCGAGGCTTCCGCTCTCTTGGTGTTGCTGTTCAAAAGGAAGGAGAAGACTGGGCTTTGCTTGGAATGCTACCTATGTTTGATCCGCCCCGAGAAGACACTGCCCAAACTATTAGCGAGGCGCAAAACCTCGGCATCAGCGTCAAGATGCTCACCGGTGATGCTATTGCCATTGCGAAAGAAACCTGCAAGATGTTGGCTTTAGGGACTAAGGTGTATAACTCCGACAAGCTAATTCACGGTGGCTTGAGTGGTGCTATGGCCAGTGATCTTGTTGAAAAAGCGGACGGGTTTGCTGAGGTGTTCCCAGAACACAAATACCAAGTCGTACAAATGCTGCAAGAACGAGGCCACTTGACCGCTATGACAGGTGACGGTGTAAATGACGCACCATCTCTTAAAAAGGCCGATTGTGGCATTGCCGTTGAAGGTGCTTCGGAAGCCGCGCAGTCTGCATCAGATATCGTATTCCTCGAGCCTGGACTTTCGACCATTATCGACTCTATCAAGGTCGCACGTCAAATTTTCCACCGCATGAAGTCGTATATCCAATACCGCATTGCACTATGCTTGCACCTTGAGATCTACTTGGTGACCTCGATGATCATCCTCAATGAAAGTATTCGTGTCGAGCTTATTGTCTTCCTGGCATTGTTCGCTGATCTTGCGACAGTTGCAGTGGCCTATGATCATGCATCTTTTGACTTGCGACCTGTTGAATGGCAACTTCCCAAAATCTGGTTCATTTCCTGCCTTCTTGGTGTGCTTCTCGCCTTGGGTACGTGGGTTATTCGAGGAAGCATGTTCCTGAAATCCGGAGGCATCGTTCAAAACTGGGGATCTATCCAAGAGATTCTGTTCTTGGAAGTAGCTCTTACAGAAAATTGGCTAATTTTCGTCACTCGCGGCATCGACACATGGCCATCTATCCACCTGGTGGCCGCAATCCTTGGCGTCGACATTTTGGCTACTATATTCTGTCTGTTTGGCTGGTTTACCAACGAGAACATGAGGACTAAGCCCGAAAGTCATTTCGTCGAGACCAGGAATGGCTGGACCGACATCGTCACTGTTGTACGAATCTGGGGTTATTCGCTTGGTGTATCGATTGTCATTGCGTTGGTGTACTTCGTTTTGAACAAGATCGAGTGGCTCGACAATCTGGGTCGTGTCCAGCGCGACAAAGGGGAAGTCAAGATTGAGAATATCCTTGCTCATTTGTCTCGTCTTACGGTTGAGTACGAGGAAGGAGGTGCACCGAAGGGCCGGCTCTGCTTGACTGCAAGCAAGGAGGAGGAAGAGGCTGAGTAAGAGATGGGATATCGAATGAAAGAAGGGCATGAAGTCCGGAGTTGCCTATCATTGGATCTTGGAAGTTGGCTTTGTTCTGATCCTGGCCTAATTGGGTATTGTCGATGGTGATGAACGTTAGTATTATGGCGTGTTCTCGGGGGACAACGTACGAGAGCATGGCGGTTTCTTTATTAATCTCTAATGTGTTGAATCTGCTTGCAAGTATTCTAATGGCGCTCAAATACCTTTGGTTTATGTCTTTTAAATTCAATCATTTATTATAGATGGAAGCCAAGTGATAAAATGTCACTTTTCAGATATATAGAACAAGCTGTACCCTCGGACGTAATGATTGTGTATTCATTGTATGATTATGAGGTTAAAGAGTGACCCAATTCGGAAAAACACAAAGCAATGCAGATGGCGTGACGTTCCAAAGTTTCAAAAAGCAAAATTAAATAATGGGTATCATATAAACGAGTGTACGCCCGAGATTAGGTGGGTTAAAGATAGAGTCGAAGGGTATAAAAGTTAATAAAAAAGCCAAAAGACCGACCAAATAGAAGTGCTGCAAGTCTGAAATAACGCCAAGTTGATCGTAAAGGTTCTTCACATGCTCAACAGTCCAACCATGTAAATCCATGGTATGTGACACACACAAACCCTCAATGGGAATGAGGCTCGTCTGTGACGATGCCGGCCTTGACAACAACCGCAAACTCTCAGGTACGGTTACGCTGAGCATGTCGGAGATTGTTAGTAAGATCATGGGCGACGCCGCTAACGACCTTGTTCCCTTTCCGGATGCCATCCAGCAAACTAAGAAGGTCGGTGCCGAGAATAGAGATGACAGGCTTGCTATTGTTGTCATCCTTTGATTTATCATCTGAATTATCGTGCGAGTCATCCTTGTTCGGGTTGTTCTCATTCTGTGGGCTAGCAGTCGAGGTGGGGACCGCAGTTGTCTCAGCAGATGTGGATGCAGCAATAGTCGGCTTTGCCTCTGTGTTTTCAGGCTTGTGACTTGCGCTATTGGTAGCGACAGTAGTCGTTGTTGTAACGGTGGGTTTTTGTTCATCGGAGGTATTGGTTCCTTCAACTCCCTTGGGCGTAGCAGAAGCAGATGAGGAGGAGGAAGACGAGTGTGAGGAGTCGGGTGCATTGGAAGACGACATAGTCGTCGTTATCGTTGTTGTTATCGTTGTCGTGGTTGTCGTAGTTGGGTTTGTTGCTGTGGTTGGGTCCGTGGGTTTTGTTGTCTTCGTTGAGTCAGTGGACGTAGAGGTAGGTGCCGAGGTTGACACCGGATCGGGCGACGACGAACCGGAATCATTCGCAGGGCCCAGGCTTTTTCGAACGTCCTCGATAAAGCCTTCATTGCCATATGCCTGTGTAGCATCCCACATCATAACACCCCCAAAACTCTCGAACTTCTTCGTGTATTCAATCACCTTGGCCAACTGCGATGCAGGGATATACCCTGTGCTAGCCGCGGTAGTGAATGCCGGAACGCCGATGATGACCTTGACATCCTTGTTATTAGACACCGTCTTAGCCCAGTTGTCCCACTCTTCGAAGTTGTATTTGCTGATGGAGCTATCGGTGTTGAAGTTGTGGACGCCACAAAAGTTGTTATAGAACTGCACCCAGATAGCGTCGATATACACAGGGCCGTTGAGGATCTCTTTGTCTGCCTGGTCGGGGTAGGGACATTGTGGTGCTGCTGTCAAGTAGAACTTCTGCTTGCTCTTATCTGCGTTCATTAGCGAGCGCAGCTCATTGGCGAAGGGTGCCATGTGTTGGACATTGGCCTCAAAGTCGAAGTCGAACCCATCCAAGGCGACGTCACCGAAGGGACGAAGAGCTTTGGAGCCCTCTTGCTTGGGGCCAAAAGTCTCCCACATCAGCTTCGCGCCGTCCTTGGCATCTTCCTCAGATTTGAAGCCCCCCTCGCTATAAGTGGCTCCACCGATTGAAAGAAGAATCGTCTTGTTCTTCTTTTGGCACGTCGCAATGTCCTTGCTGGATGATGTTAGCCTCCTGGCAAATTGCCAGCACACGGGATATCGCAACACTTACCCAATTGAGGGACAATTCTTCAATTGAGTGCCCTCAAAGACATCGCAGTCCTTGCTGGTAATGGAGAAATCAATCTCTGGAGCGCCTCCTGGGCCATTGACCATCATATTGAAGGCCATCGGTATCACCTATATCATTTTGTTAGTCTAAAATTTCCACCTTTCCTGATGATCCGGTTCATACATCAATATCGTCATCTATAGTCTCGTGTTAGCCAACCAACACATTGAAAATATATGGTTCACTCACTATCGCAGTAGTATGCCAAAGGCTGCTGGGCCTCATCTCCCTTTCCATTAAAAGAGTTCTGCCCTTCAGTATATCTCATGTAAGTATTAATCAACGCAAACAATGCATGATCACCTACCCCAGTAAACAACGATGTTGCTGGTCGAGTCCAAGTCCAGCTTCGCCTGTGCTCCTCCAAGTGAAGCCAGCAAAACAGACCAAGGAAGGAGGCCCTGATAGCGACGCATGGTGGCAAACTCAATATAGTAGGTTCATGGGTTATACAATTAGGTTTCGGGGATTAAATTAATATAAGGGATTATAGGATGTATAAGGGTAGAAACGACATGAACACCGGGCCTCATCCCGAATGAGCATGGCGGATCATTAAATAGTATACTTTGTATATTTTTCCTCATCATTCTCCAAAAAACAATCGCTAAGTTTCCCATTCAGGTGCCTAACCCGGTGCCCTCAGCGCATGGTATGATCCACATCTCCACGCCAGCGATCTGAGAGAAGGTTTGGAGTCATTCCTCGGTCTCGAATGGATACAATGTGTAAGTAATATTGGCTGATCATAATTTTCACAGGATTGTGAGATGTGCTCGTTGCCCTGGTCTACATTCCATTGTTGTTGTCAGGGGACTAAGGGCAGGCCCAAGAATGCACCGAGGGATGAGCATGTGTGAGTGTAAATTCAAGTTCTAGGCCATCAGCATTTGACTATCCTGTTGTAGAGACCATACTCTATGCCCGGTCATCACCGTCAGGGGCTATTTCCTTTGTCATCTGCATGGTCACCCTAGGGGTCATCTCGGGGGTCATCTGGGCGTTGGCACGCCATTTAGTTAAACTATACTCTGCCCACCCTTGCAAAACAAAATATTCACAATTAACCCCTAATTTCTTAAGCTTGAGCTGTTAAATATTCAAGTCTTTTTTTTTTCTCTGTCTCGCAAATTTTTTTTTAACATGCAACATAGGAAATCAATTTTAGATGTCGAGGAACATTGTGTGGAACATTAAATGGCTGGAGCTCGCAAATATATATCAACGAACTCAATACTACAACGAATTGAACATAAGCACATAAATATATAATAACCTAAGTTTAGGCCTATCCCATATTATTTGACTTTCTATTTGTTATAAATCTAAGTAATGAAATTAATTAAAGCATACTTTAATTTATACAATTCCCCTGCAGAATGCAAGCCACCTGCACTATCACATATGTATCGGATAATGACTCGCACTTGAAACCATTCCCTTCCCGTTTTAGCCCTTGCCGCTTTTTGATCTCAGAGTAAAACTGAGCACGTCCCTGAGCCTGATTGGATCACGTGCCATTACATCTATGGATGACTATTAATGCTGACAAGAATCCTCGAGAGAGTGTCCGAATGGAACGAGCGGTCGACTAAGGTTGTAAAGTACAAGATATAAAGGCTTTTAAAGCGTATTTCTAACTAGACTGCGACATCGCCCGTCCACGACGGGCACGCCCACTACGCCCACCGTTATACAGAGTTGTCTTAAATATATAAATAATTAAGTTATATTATAAATTATACTATATATATTTCAATATATCTTACTAAAAATCCGGAATTCTTAGTGTAAGTGTATGAAATACACAAATATAGTTGAAATATTTTGAAATCTGTCAATAAAAATCACGTGTTAAGCTAATTTTGCTTACTAAAAAGGCCCACGGGCGCCCACGACGCCCACGGCCCGTGGGCCCTAAGGGTAGGGCCCGTCCATGGGCGTATCCATAGTGCCCGGCCCATCGCCCGCTTACATAAGGCCCATGGGCAAGGCCCACCAGCCCGTCCGTGGGCGATGTCGCAATCTATTTCTAACCTTAATTAGAAAATTAACTATGATATTAAGTTATTACATAAAGGCTTGTATAGCTTATTTTTCTTACTAAGGTTAGAAAATTGATAGTAGTATTAAGTTATTATATATATAATTAAATAACTTAAAAAAATAGAAAAAAATGTATAAATAATATAAGCCATAAGGTTAAGAAATTCTACTTACTAAAAAGGCCTAGGGGCCTATCTATAGGGCCCACTTCCTGCTCATTAAAAGGCCCGTGGGCAATGCCCACCCGCCTGTCCATGGGCGATGTCGCAGTCTAAACTACGATAAAGGGCGAAAATTTTATAATCTACAAGGGTGTTCCCGCACTAGCCTGTGCGTCCTCAGCTCGACTATTTTACCCAATAAAATGAGCACAATCCCCTATCTACTTGGCTACGTCAAACGTAGATCCCTGTTCATTGCTCCTGTAATTTTATTCCAATCCATCGCACGGGACTCACCCTTAAGTGTCTAAGCGCGAGATAACATCAGCCCGGTTTTTTATCTCGCATGCTATAATTCTTGATTAGCCTCTGAGCGAGTGCTACCGGAGAACAATTCCTTCCGCTGAACATTCGAACAAGAACCATGGATTAATTGAGAATGTAGCGCGTAGAAATAGCAATTGCGCCAAAAGACACATTCCATTATAAAAACTTTCAAAATCAGTAAAAAGATAGTAGAGCTAAATAGATATCTTTATTTAATCTAATTAATAGATAAATCTAGTTTGAAGAATTTTAGAGTCAGGATATATAAAAACACCACCAGACTATACTATTTCAACAGCAGCTGTTTTATAAGGTAAACCCTATATTGATAAAACAACAGCTAGCGAAGGAAATTAGACTGTGAACTAGGTCTCAGGATCCTAGGACCTTAGGAAAGCAAGATATTCCAAGAGTTCGATTTGGCAAGACATAGTCGTTCCCCTTTCTTTTCATATAGAGAAGTATCCTCTTTCTTCAAGTAAGATTCCCTTTTTATCCAAGAGGTACCCCTTTTCTATATAAGCAGTTGTCTTTCCTTTAGAGAGATACTTGTCCTGTGACTCCTAGTGTTGTAACCTATCACATGATTCATCCTGTTGCCTTAGACCTTGTAAAAACTCCTATCACTTCTTATCCAAGTTGATTGGGTCTCCTTTCTCCATTCTATCAACTCTTCATAGTGGGTCCGTAACAGAGAGCTTCGCCCAAACGTCCTTCATGAGGTCACCTCAACACTTTTGACGACTTGGGCTCGGAGCTGGGTTCGAGTTCAACATGGTGACCATAGGCTGCATTGGCCTCCTGAGTGCGGTTCTGGAATGCGAAGCCTGCAACTGTTATTAGAAACGAGAATTTCCCTACATGGGACGGAACAGTACCTGGTTGAGCAATGTTTAAGGCGAACACCGCCAGGATCACCATCACCGACTCTAGCCCAATAAACAGACCCTCATCGTGGAAGACTGCCCCACTGTATCCTTCACTGAGCTCGGCAATACGGTAGCAGCAACGGATGAAGATAAAGATAATAGATGCTGAGAAGAAAATGCCAAAGATCCCGAGGCGCTTCGAGAGGATCCGGCGTTGATCCACTTGCTGAGACTTCCGGTACGATTTGTAGCGGAAGAGGTAGTCCAACGCCATAGCGGTGAAGATAGTAAGAGTGAAGACCTGGAACGCCAGACCTGCAAGCGTGATGTACTCGCCCGATTTGTCACTTCCCACCGAACTCGATGATAACGCGCCGCCCACGGCCTGCAAGATCAAACTAACGATATCGCACGGCACAAACACCCACACGTATGTCTTGACCGGAAACCTGCAAGCTTCGGGGCCCAAAAAATTCGAGACATTGGCGAGCGAGACGTAGATGGCGGCGGCGAAGAAGACGGGTGAGATTGTAATGCAGCAGATCTCGATGATGAAGCCGTCAAAGGAGAAGGGGTTCTGGTATAGCAAAACTCGCCCGGCGTAACCGATCATCTCGCCAATGCAGCCGAGCGCCATCATGCTGGCGAAGAACCAGGTGCGGTAGAGGACGCCCTGGGCCAGGTGGATGAGCATGGAGACGCCGAAGAGGGCGATGAAGGCGATTTGCGCACTTAGGGTGGGCCGGTAGCCCTGGAGGGAGGCATCGGCGGGGCATAGGGCGAGGGTGCAATTGGCGTCGGGGCCGAAGGAGACCAGGTACTGGGAGGAATCATTTTGGCCGGCTGCTTCCGGGGACGACATAGTGGTAATAAGGGGAGGGGGTCGAAGATGCGTTGAGTCGAGGGCAGAATGGACGAGACTCCGCTTAGGGTTAGGAAGTGTCGGAGTGACAAAGAGGTGGCAGAGCTGTCAAAGAAAAGCGGAGAAGGAAGGCAAACTAGCTTGGTGGAGCAAACTCGTAGCGGGCCGGAGAATGGGGCCAGAGAAAGTGAGTGGATGCCAGAGTGTTGTGAGCTGAGACGAAAAACCGGACTATGGTTCAAAAGTAGGATGCGAGTGTAGTCATAGTAGACCAAAGCTGATGCCTGATGCGAGTTTAGTCTTGGCAGACCAAAGCTGTTGCCTGCCGCACGACACGTCGTGTGGCGGCGATCGGTAATTGACTGTTAATAGCCCCGAGAGGGACCCAGGAGGAATACAAAGAAACACACATGTGCAGACTGTGATTGGTCGAAAATCCGCCGACCCTGATGCACCACTATTTTTAGGAACTATCGGCCGATGCCGGGCTCCACCCAGATTGATAAGGAGGAATACACCAAAAGAGTAAGGGAATAGGAAGCTGGGAAGCCTCATAAGGTAGAGGTCAAGGTTCAGGGGTAATTTAATGACCCAGAAGTACTACGTAGATAACCTTCTACCTATAAACGTCGAAGCTGTTAAATCTATACGGCTTATTGACGATAAAATCATGGCTTTTACAAGAGAATGAGAGCCTTTCCCATGGGATAAGGAAATATGGACTAGCACAAGAGCACAAGAAGGCCCACAATATCTAAAACCTATGGGACCATCCTGCTCAGAGTCCGGATCTTAATCCTGTTGGAGGTATTTGGGCTGTTGTAAAGCAACGCTTAGGCCAAAGAATCTTCGATTCCGAAGAAGAGATGAAAGAGGCTCTACAAGAGGAGATACAGCACCGGATGACTGATATGAATAGAAAGATGCGCACAACTTGTACGATCTAATGGAGGTCCTCTTCGAGGTATATAAGTGGTAGTTCAGGTTTCTTACAGATTTAGCTTATTGCACAGTGACGCTGGACCTGATAATGCGGTCGATAAGTTTAATCGCTTGCAATATTTCAGAGCAATCTCCTTTGGCAATTTGTTTCCTCTTCCAACCTCAAGATAGTACAAATCATGCGCATTCTTGTCGAATGCCAAAAAGCA